ATATTAAATAAATAATGCAAATGAATGAGATTTTTTATGTTCAAGAAAAACCTGCCAATGATGAAAGCATTGTTAAAAAAGAACTACATACTTATTATCCATATCAACAAGACTTCAAACCAAATGATGAAGTTCGTATCACAATACAGAACCAAGATTTGTATGTCCTTCCATGTGAAAGTTTTCTCCACTTGAGGGCAAAATTATTGACACAAATACAGGAACGACTTCGACAAATGGAGTTACTGGGATGCTCAAAAATAATTGCATGGCCTATTTTCTAGATGAAATAAGATATGAGTTAAACGGGTGTGAATTGGATAGGACACGGTTTACTGGAATTACAACAACTATTAAGAACTTTCTCTCAGTCGGCCAACAGGAAGGAGTTCTTTGTCGTAATGCCGGGTGGAGTGGTGGAGACAATATTCCTTCGGGAGGACATTTCAGCTTTTCTGTACCTTTAAAAATGTTGATGGGATTCGCTGAAGACTTCAAGAAAGTAGTGTTAAATTGTAAACATGAGCTCGATATTAATCCAACATTGGTACAGGGAACACATCATATCTGGAATGTAAAGTTGTCTGCAAATAGGGAACGCCCACGTTTTGCTGTCATTGCATTTACGTTAAATGGACAGCTAATTACAAACAATTTGAGAAATGCAAAAGTATATCTAAATTCTGAAGTCTATCCCTATGAGGATTTGAATATTAAATATAATGAGAATCGGTTTGCCGTCTTGTACGACATGTATACAAAATTCCAAGAGAGCTACTACAATCGAGAACCACGGGCACTTCTATCACCCAACGAGTTTATAAGGAAGGCTCCTGTCGTTGTTGTTGATCTCTCATACCACAATGAGTTCCGACAAGAGCCCAACACCTCAGGCCACCCCAGCTATTGCTTCGACTTTACTGTCAACCAGTTGGGACGTCTCGTTTTTATTAAGCTCGGAAAAAAAAAACTACGGAAATATCGAATCTACAACTAAATTTTTCTAAATTTCATTTTGGAAAATTCTTCAAAACAATTTAAAAAGAAAACAGTATTCATTGTGCGAAGCAGGATACCTTGCCCGGCTGTGGCTTGGTGGTTTCTGCTATGCAGAAGCCACCCACAGCTGGCCCCTCGAATAAGGAGGAGGCTACTCTATCTCGACGGTTAACCCGCGAAGACAACTCTCGATCGGCTACCCCTACTAGCTCAATTGACGTTGCGGCTGAGCTCCGCAGCGCTGCTCTCAAACGTGCCCAGCCAAAGAAAACCCTTGGATCCTCCCAGAGTACTGTCGCTGACCTTCCCGAATGGAAAACTAAAGGAATCAACCATGTCTTTAAGTCGAGCACTATTGATTGGCAGCGGGTGCAGCCCAAAAGACGACGATTGCAAAATCAGGCACCGCAGTTAAAAAATGTTATAGCTTCGCAACTGCCCACTGTATCACGTTCTCAGCAGCCAAATACTCCACTTGGTCATAATCAGTTTGCCTCGCTGATGAGCGTTGATGATGATGACATCGTGGAAGTCGATGAAGTGAAGGATGCGGTCAATACAAAGCCAGATTCCCCATTGAAAATCAAGAAACCAAGGCCCATTAGAATTCCAGATGTCGTTGATATTAATGCCTTGGAGGCCTTCCTTTCCCCCATTATCCCATCTGATGATTTTGAATTTCGATTGTCTCCTGCTGGGGATGTCAGAATTTACGCAAAGGATTCTAACACCCACCGCCAGATACTCAAGTTGCTTAATGCTCATAATGTTGAGTATACCCATTTCTGCCTAGACGAGGATAAAACGTTCCGTATAGTGGTGCGTAATCTACCTGCCTCAACTCCTGTAGACACGATTGTCCAAGAGTTTAAAAAGCAAGGCCACTCGGTTGTCAATGCGTACAATCCGAAGTCGAGGCTTCCTCATCGAGTCAACTCTGATGGAAGTATCAATGCCCAGCCGAAACAGAATATATGGTTCCTAAACCTGTCCCCAGCTCCCAACAACAGGGACGTTTTCAAGATTTCTAGAGTTGGCCGAATGCGAGTATCAATTGAAGTACCCAGAAAGAATAATACTCTGAGGCAATGCTTCAGGTGTTTCGACTTCGACCACACTAAAAATTACTGTCTAAAGAGGCCCGTGTGTGGACGATGTTCACTTGAACACCCAACTGGTTCTATTCTGTGCTTGGCAAAGACTACCAACGACCTCATTTGTGTAAACTGCCTGGGTAATCACGCGGCTTATGATCGAGCTTGTCCTGTATATTCCCTCAAACTGAACAATCGTCGATCTGGGATTAACCTTGCTGCTCCACGACAACCAAGTTCTAGATGTCAAAACCAATCTATCCCGTCCTTGGCTGTCCGCAATGGACTGTCCTTTGCGGATGTTATCGGGCAACGTAGTAAGCCTGTTTCTCAAATGGACTCGTCTTCTCGTAACTGGAATACAAACAACTATAACACGGAGTTTCCTAACCTTCCTGGTAATGGCAAGAGAGCGAGATCCAGAACTAGAGTCCGTGCTCCTTCCTCTGCGCATGTTGCTCCTTCTGCCTCCACTCCTGACTTGTTGAGTTTGTTCCAAATGATGCAAGAGCTCCAAAGGGTGGTCGCTCAGCTATCCCTCTCAGTGGCAGCAATAGCCCAGAATGTGAACCAGATTCAGGGAGGATCCTCTCTGACAATTCCCAGATATAGTGCCCATTATGAATAATGATCTCCGCATTGGATTCTGGAACGCCCGCAGCCTGGCATCAAATGCGAATGAGCTGCTTATATTTACTCTACAGCATAAAATTGACATCATGTTAATTGCGGAGACTTATTTACACCCTGGAATCAACTTTACTCTTGCAGGATTCGAATGCCTGAGAGCTGACCACCCCGGCAATACTCGCCGAGGTGGCTCAGCCATTCTGATCAAGGAAGGAATTTCCTATTACCAACTTCATGTTGTCAGGGATTGGAAAGTTCAACTAACTACCGCCATGATCTCATCTAGCAGTGGAGAGCTATTGATTGGTGCAGCGTATCTTCCTCCTTCATTAGGTTGGACTAGTGCTGAATTTGATCACCTCCTTTCAGAACTGGGCCATAAGTTCATCCTAGGCGGGGACTTCAACGCAAAACATCGACTTTGGGATAGCTACAGAGCCGACGGTAGAGGGAGCGCTCTACATGATGCTATTACGAATTCTTCAGCACAAATTCTAGCAACTGGAAGCCCTACGTGCTTTCCATCCAATTCTAGGGCCACCCCGTCCTGCATTGACTTTTTTATCTACAAATCGATTACAAGTAACCTGCTTTCCATCAGGAACGAGCATGATCTTAGCTCTGATCACTTGCCGCTGGTAGCAACATTTGCGTCTGCTCCTACAACCATTGTCTCTAGATCCAGCCTGCTGAAACCTGGATTTTGTCTCTCCGCCTTCCAAGATTCACTGGATAACTCCCTTGAGCTTTCCACCTCCCTAAACACGAAGGAGGACGTGGATTCAGCCATTAACATCCTTCTTACAAGGATTGGGGAGGCTGCTGCAGTTGCGGCCCCTCCGGTGTCTCCAGGCTCTCTTACGGCAAGGCGTCATTGTGTGCTCTCTTCTGAAGTTGAGGGATTGCTGTTGCTGAAGAAGAGGCTTAGGCGAGAGTACATCCGCACATCCGACATGAGAATCAACAGATTGTTCAGGAGGATTTCCAACAGAGTACGTAAAAAATTGTCGTTACTCAAGGCTGAAGCTACGGATCGCATGCTGGAAACCGTGACAGCTGATGCGAGCTCCAACTATTCCCTTTGGAAGCTGACTGGATCCTATAAAAGGCAAGCTACTCCCAAGTTTCCAATCAAAACAGAGGATGGTACATGGGCAAGATCAACACAAGACAGAGTTGAAGCTTTTGCTCAAAGTCTAGAAGATAGATTTACTCCCTTCGGAACAGCCTCTGTCCGGAGACAACAGATTGTGGCTGACAAGCTTGCGATTACACACCAAATGGAGCTTCCGGTGCCACCTATAACTGTGCAGGAGGTTAAGGAGGACATAAAAAAGTTAAATGTCAAGAAAGCCCCTGGAGATGACCAAATTGATAATCGTATTGCACGAACGCTACCTCTTAGAGCACTGCTATACCTTATACTCATCTTCAATGCTTCCCTGAGGTTGAGCTACTTCCCAAAGGCTTGGAAGAGTGCTCGGATTGTAATGATCCTTAAACCTGGGAAACCACCCGAGGACCTAAACAGTTATCGGCCTATTAGCCTCCTTTCCACATTTGGTAAGCTGCTGGAAAGATGCATCCTTAGAAGATTACGTCAGTCTCAGTTGGCAATGAACGCTCTTCCCAAATTTCAGTTTGGGTTCAGACTTAGGCATGGCACCCCTGAACAGCTGCACCGTGTTGTTGAGTATATACTCGAGGGTTTCACTCTAAACAATACGTGGTGGCTGCCTACCTGGACATACAGCAGGCTTTTGATAGGGTGTGGCATCCAGGGCTACTCTAAAAACTCAAGCCATTACTAAACCCACAACTGTTCGAAATGGTTAGGAGCTTCCTCTCTGAAAGGACATTCAAAGTGGTTCAGGACGGTACCCTATCCTCTCTAAGGCCGATAAAGGCTGGAGTTCCCCAAGGAAGCGTGCTGGGACCGACGCTGTACAGCTTGTTCACTCATGACATGCCGAAGTCCACGGGACATGATCATAATTCTATGCTGGCCACATTTGCTGACGATACTGCTGTCCTCTCCAGATCCAACTGTATCTATGACGCCACTGATATGCTTCAGCTATACCTCAAAAGGTTTGAGAATTGGGCCTGTCGCTGGAACATTTCAATTAATCCGGCAAAGTGTGCTGTAGTGACGCACTCCCTCATAAAGGAGTCGTGCCCTGGACTGTTCCTGCATGGAGAGCTTCTTGAGCAGGTCAGAGATTATAAATACCTGGGGGTCACCCTAGACACTAGATTAACCTTCGCCAAGCATACAAGGTTAGTTAGGCGTTCATTGGAGGATAAAGCCAGAAGGCTGTACTGGCTCCTAAAGGCAAATAATCACCTGAGTCTGGCGAATAAGGTCCAGATATACAAGTCCATACTTGCCCCTACTTGGAGATATGGGATTCAAGTTTATGGCATAGCGGCCAAATCTAATCTGAGTTACATCCGGGTCTTCCAAAGCAAGTTCCTGCGGAGAATTACTGGTGCTGAGTGGTTTATTCGGAACACTGACCTAGCGAGGGACCTTAAAGTTCCCTTGTTAGGGGATATTATCAATGAACAAGCCGAACATTACAAAAATAAGCTCATGTCTCACCCAAACATTCTAGCCAGGAGACTTGCGTCTCGGCGGGCAAGGCGCAGACTTAAAAGGATTCATCCCTCGGACCTACCAAGAAGGAAAATTTATTAAACACTAACTAAACTCCCTGCCACTTGTTACTTCTTCACTTCTAAAGCTAGAAACACACGATGCAAACAATTTGCAGCAAGTTGATTGCTGCAAACAAATTTGCACGTTTAAACACGAGTGAAAACATTTTGCTGCAAACAAAAAACTTGCAAAGTTGTTTTGCAGCAATATTTGTTGCTTGTCGTCTGTATACATTTTTGACAGCTATCTTGGTTGCGTCAACTGCTTGCTTGTTTGCATGTGCTGTTTGCTTTCAGTCGTAGTATTGCAGCAAACAAAGCACAATGTGGGATCGCGACAACATAATAAAATTAATCGAATTGTACGAGAATCATTCAGTTTTATGGGATGTCTCATCAGGAGATTATAAAAACAAACATAAGAAGCAAAATGCGTCTGTATTGCAGACGAAATATACATATATATATATTAAAAAAAATTTAAAATATATATATATATATATATATATATATATATGGGCAACCGTGGCCATAAAATTAAAAGTCAGTAAATGTCTGTTTTTCTTACATATGTTTATAGCGAATATATTGAATTTAACGAAAATAAGCTTATTTTACATTTATTCATAAAACATTTCGAAATATTTCAATGCAAAGTCGAAGGCGGGGAAATTTCTGTTTCGAACATTTCTACCGCACGTTTTGTTTTGATTATGTCTTTTAATGGAGAGTCACTATGTATTGATATTCCCACTTTTAAATCTTCAAAGAATATAAAGGAAAGGTAAAAGAAACGATGCGATACCCAAATACGGTAAATTTTCAACAGAAAACATAAAAGAATACAGCAAGAGTCTCTTGCTCAGAGGGAGAGCGAGAGAGTATGAACTGTTTCGGTTGTGCTCGCAACGAGAGCGCAAGAAAAAAATAGTTCGACAGTTATTTGCTTTGCTTGCAAGCAGTGTCAATAAAAATAAAAACACGTGTAGACAGTAACGCAATATATTGCACGAAATAGCCATGCAAAAGTTTGCGTGCAAAACAAAAATTTATTGGAGCAAGAAATTTTCTTGCAATATTTGCATAGGTGTAAACATTTGTGCAAACTTTTGCTGCAAATTATTTTCAACTTGCTGCAAATTGTTTGCATCGTGTGTTTCTAGCTTTACACTTTTGTAATAATCCAATGAACTCCTCCGCTCACTATTGTATAAGTTGCTACACTACAGTAATTTGCAATAATAAATTCAGTCAAAATGGAAAAAAAAAAAAAAAAAAAACCAGAATGAGTCTGTAAAATCAGGACCGATTGATGTAAAAATTTCCACAGAGCTAAGTGTGGCGAGTGAGATGAATACAAAGGTATATTGCCTTCTCATCCATGATCGACTAGTTGAATATACACCATTGAGTGGATTAGTTCAACGTATCGTCTAAAAATTTTTAGAGGATAAGATCATTCAATTTTAATAATCATTGGGAGTAGACGTCCACGGAGCAATCAAAAATGATGTCATTAGAAAACAAAGCCAAATCCACAACCTCTTTTACAATACATCAACTTGTAATTAGAATAAATAATTTCATGAAAATGTATAAGAATAAAATTTTCCCCGAACACGAGCAATATCTGGAGGATTCGTTAAAATATTTCCATCAGAGGATGCCTGATACACCGCTGGTTTCAAATATACATGGACAACATTTCACATCTTGCTCTTGGGCGAATGATAATGTCAACAATGGTCTCGATACTTGCGCCTGTCATTTTTTCAGTGTTCGCTCTCAAAAATCATTAAAAATTATGAAAATGTATGTTGATTTAGAACATCGTTTCTGATATTTATATTTGATAAATAAAATTATATATATATATATATATAGTGATGGTCGTGGGTGATCGTCCAAGTGTGCTCGAGGATCGAGTAGAGCGTGGATTTTCCGTTCCAAACATGTACCCTTCTTCAATTCCAGTCCAGTCCCTTTCTTAAGTGAGGATCGTGGGTGATCGTCCAAGTGTGCTCGAGGATCGAGCAGAGAGTGGGCGTGGAATTTTCCGTTAGCACCCATCTTCCATTCCACCCCGTCCCTTTTTTAAGTGAGGATTGAGGGTCAACGTCCAAGTGTGCTCGAGGATCGAGCAGAGCGTGGGCGTGGAATTTTCCGTTAGCACCCTTCTCCCATTCCACCCCCATCCATTTTTTAAGTGAGGATTGAGGGTCAACGTCCAAGTGTGCTCGAGGATCGAGCAGAGCGTGGATTTTTCCGTTAGCACCCTTCTTCCATTCCACCCCTGTCCCTTTTTTAAGTGAGGATTGTGGGTCAACGTCCACGTGCGTGAACGGGATCGATGCGGCCCAGGATCGCTGCGGTGCGACCTTTTCAATTGCCTCCCCCGTCCCTTTCTTTCAGTGAGGGTCGTGGGAACGTACACGTGCGCTCCGGGATCGCTCGGGATCGCTCCCCTCCCTTTCGCACTCGTATCCACATCCTTGTTGGGGCGCTTGAACACTTGTTCTCAAGTGGAGAAGTTACCTGTGCGAAGCCAGCACCTGTACCGCCTGACCCCATTGGCCCAGGACAGCAGCAGCAGATATCAAGCGTGGAAGGCACGGCCGCCACCTGCGCCATAGAGGGAGCGTCAGCGTAGCCAAACCGGCGACGGCCAGCTGACGTGGTCAAAAGCGGCATAGACCAAGGAGAAGAAAAGAACCGACAGCGATGCAAAAGCGCATTTTTTTTACCAATGCACTGCGTTGCATACTTTTTTTTTTCTTTTTGATTGCACTGCGAAGCATATTTTTTTATATAATATAATGTAATATAATTTGTAAAATTGAGCGGAACCTTTTCTGCCCAATTAGTCGTGTAGCCCGTAAAGCTATACAAAAAAAAAAATAGGTAGGAAACCTGTTAAAATAGATGAGAAGTAATGCTATAAGCTAATTTTCCAAAAAAAATTATAATAATCATAATCAGAAATATAACATAAAGCATAAATACCACCACGAAAATGACGTTGGATATAAAAACAGTGGATTCCACTGCCAATGTCCGAATAGAATAGAGCCGAATAATATTGATTTATATTGGGTACATATACTTTTCATAGTCATTGTTGTTATAATGTGCGCAAATATAAAATATAAAATATATAAGCTGCATAACAGATGTTTAAAAAGAATACATACATGAACCGGGCAAATGACCTGGATAAATTTAAGCAGCAAACAAAAAAAAGTGCACAAACAACATTGATTAAACACAAATTTTCTACACTTAAAATTGAAGAAAATGTAATACATAAATAAAAAAAGAAAATTAGTATGTAAAAATATAGTTTTTTAAATAAAGTATGGCTAAATTCAATTCAATTAATTCATGTCCATAATATAATGGAATGGAACGAACTATATAAGATAATAAATAATATAAAATTGACTTTGACAAATCATATATGTAAGTCACTCAATCAAAATATACCAATACAAAAAAACATCATTAAAAACATTTAGAAATATTAGTAGAATGCTTTAATGAAGCGCGAATACTAATACATGGTAAAAGGAAAAAATTAAATCAATATCATTGGTCCCAAGTATCGAAATTTTGATCCGACTACTAATGTAAAATCAGTTAAACAAAAATTCAATTTAGAAATATCAGTACCGACCGTTCTTAACACTTCCCTAACAGTTGACACAGAAAATGAACCAGAATCAACAGACCCAAACGACATTGACGAAATAGAATCAGAAGAGCTTATCGAGATAAACCCTAAAACAGAAGATCAAGATTTAAATAATCTTACTACTCCAGCTGTATACATGTCAGATCTGGATAATTCTACAGATTCCGATACTTCAAGCATAATAGAGAATAAAATAAGCAATCCTATTACAATGGCACAATCTAGATTTATTAATACAGCATCCAAGCTTATACCAGTTTTTGATGGTAGGCCTGATTAGATTTAACAAGTTTCATTGATGCTTTACAAATAATAGAAGCAATAAAAGGTGAGCACGAACAATTAGCAGTTTCCATAATTAAAACAAAGCTAAAAGGTGTCGCCAGAAATCTAATCGGTAATGAAACAACGATTACTGAAGTGATTTCTAAACTAAGACTAGTCAAAGGCGAAACTGTAGAAGTATTGTCATCAAAACTGTTGAACCTACGCAGCAACTGCTAACCAGTATACACAAGAGGTTGAGCAGATGACGAAAGCTACCTCTAGAGCTAACCAGAAGTTATTCCACTCAGCATGCAGTCAAAGCAATGACTAAAAATTGCACGATCGATAAGGTAAAACTTATCATGCAAGCTGATACCTCCAATACTATGAATGATGCCGTTTCAAAATTTTTCAATAGTTGCACTGAAGCAACTGGACAGTCAAATACTGTCCTACACTACAGGAACTATCCACAGTGCGGCTCAAATCGCGGACGTGGAAATTATAGAGGCAACTTTCGTGGTTATCGTAATTACTACAACGACTACCAGAATTACAATGGAGGACGAGGCCAATATAGAGGAAACTATAGAGGCCGTGGTAACTCGAACCGAGGCCACAATAACAATAACCAAAACAATGTCAGAGTTGCCCAAATTACATCGGGAAACTCCCAAAACCCTTTAAATGTTCAGCAATAGGAGAAGCAAGATTTCACACTATTACACACTCAGTCAAAATATATTCGTTTCATTTATCAATGTAGCTACTGGAAAAGAACTTGTCTTTTTAATAGACACAGGTGCAGACATATCCATTTTAAAAGAAACTTCCGATATCTTCCGAAACATCCAAGATAATTACATCATAGACATAAAGGGAATAAGTCAGGAAATAACATAATCCAAAGGTCTAGTTTCTATTGAAATACAGACGACTAAATATATAATTCCCCACGATTTTCATATCGTAAGTTTACAATTCCCTATTCCATGCGATGGAATATTAGGCATCGATTTTATTAAAAACAAGAAAGAAAGCTAACTTCGGCACGCCGAAGTTTATATACCCTTGCAGATAGAACTTCTATGAATAGGAATCCATACAATATAAATTATATATATTTGTGTTAAAAACAATGAAGTAATAGCTGCTTTCATTTCATTCACCTATAAGTTAACTAAGTTAACCGGGCGACGGCAATGACCGATCGTCCGAAAGCTCGCTCCGGCCAAATTGCTGACCCAGCGTCTGGCCGGAAGCTCGTGCATAGCCGGCAAGCACTGCCCATTGGAGTGGCCGCTATGAATATCACTTTTGTTAGTTCTTAAGTTCAGTTCTGTTTTGACACTTATGAAATAAAGAGCCATCGCTCTCATACTGTAACTCCGACGATCCGTCGTAAAGCATTTATTATTACAAATCTGACTGAGTCCCTAGGCCAGCAGATAAAAAGGGACAGTCATCCCTCCAACATAATCTTCCTAACTAAATATTCTACGGCCAGCCGGCTAGAAGACATCAAAGGACGTCTCGCCCCGACCTTACATCTCCAGGAACAATCCGCAGCGGAATTGAAATTGTCGACGACGAATCATTACCGCCCAACATTATATTAATTGGCGCCCAACATTTAGAAGTACCCACAATTACAAATTGGGGAAACATGTAAGTGAGCACCTCTTACTTTATACTTTCCTTTCTGCATTAGAGTAGCTTGAAACCTAATGAAATAAATCGCTGCCAGAATAACTTCTGCAGCTCCACCTTAATATATTTGTGTTAACTTTATTATAAATAAAGATTAATTAACCCATTATTTGTTTGACAATTTAATGGTGAATTATATTTGCTACAATAATATTTGTTCTGTGCTGTCTGTGTATTGTTTGCATTTTTTGCCAAAAATAGGTACGGATATTAGATATTTCAGCCTAAGCGCTAGGCCGCCGCTAACGAACAAATTAGTTGTGAATTTATTTAAAATTATTTTTCACTATATATCGGCGGTTAATTCTGCCGTTTGGATATTCATAAATTGTGAATTTATTTATTTTATTCATTGTGTCTTTTTGCTTAGACCCTTAATTCTTAGTATTTGCCTCGCAATACATTTTTTTTATTGCCCCCACTCCACTGCTGGGAACCCGATACTGCTGCATATGCATTTGTGTGGCAAATTGTTGTTATTTGTTTCTTTGTTTCTCATAGCGGAGGCTCAGTCCCCGCATACCCCTGACCCTATCGCTGCTTGACAGGGCACCGGCTCGATTCGACGAGCTCAGAAACTTTGTTGCCAAAGCG